AGAACCCTTGAGATATTAAAAATGAGGTTAACTTTTCATACCAAGCTCTAGGAGCTTGTTTAAGACCATAAAGAGCTTTGGAGAGCTTAAAGACATGATCTGGAAATTCAGAGTCAATAAAGCCAGGGGGCTGTTCAACAAAAACAAAGGAGTCTGATTGATTCTAACCTTGCTATAGGGGCAAAGGTTTCATCGTAATCAATTCCTTCCTCTTGATTATATCCTTCGGCAACTAATCGAGCTTTGTTTTTAATGATAAACCCTAATTCATCAGATTTATTTCTAAAGACCCATTTAGTGCCAATGACAGAAATGTTTACAGGTCTAGGAACAAGTTCCCACACCTTTAATCTGACAAAATGAGATAATTCTTCTTGCATGGCAAGTAACCACTCTTCATCAAGAATGGCTTCCTTATAGTTTTTTGGTTCAAGTAAGGAAACAAAAGCATACTGACCTGGGGTGTACTTATCTCCGGTGTGAATGGGATCTGAAATATTACCTATAATTTGAGAAGGTGGGTGTCTTTTCCTGATGTGAGCAGGGGCTTCAGGATTCACAGGGGAATCAGTTTCAGAGGATGCAACTTGAGGGGCAGAATCCTCTTTAGAGGGTTCACCTGTCTCAGGATAAGAACTAAGAGGAAGAAAGTCATAGTTGCTTATATCTGAATGCAAGGGTAGTGATGGATGAGAAGTGTCAAACTTAACATGAACTGACTCTTCTACTTTCCTTGACCTCTTATTAAAGACTCTATATGCTTGACCCTTACTTGAATACCCAAGGAAGATGCCAATGTCAGACTTGGCATCAAACTATCTTATTTGATCCTTAGTGTTCATAATGTAGCACTTAGTTCCAAATGGATGAAAGTAGGATAGCTTAGGTACTTTTCCTTTTAATATTTCATAGGGTGTCTTATTTATATTCTTCCTAATGGTGGTTCGATTAAGTACATAGCAAGCAGTGTTTACTGCCTCTGCCCAGAGAAACTTAGGACAATCAAAGTCAAGAAGCATAGTTCTGGCAGTTTCAATTAGAGATCTGTTTTTCCTTTCCAAAACCCCATTCTGTTGTGGGGTTCTGGATGCAGAGAAAGTGTGAAGGATACCGAAGTTGTCACAGAGACAACAGAAGTTATCATTTATAAATTCACCACCATTATCACTTCTTATGCTTTTGATTTGACACTCAAATTGGTTTTGCATAAGAATTAAAAATGTCTTGAACTTAGAAAAGGCTTCATCTTTGAAAGACAGAAAGTAAACCCAGGTAAATCTCAAAAAGTCATCAACAATTACCAGCACATATGATTTTCCTCCAAGACTTAGAACATTTGTTGGTCCAGTAAGGTCCATGTGCAAAAGTTCAAAGGCAGCATAGGTGGTGATATCTAGTTTACTCTTAAAGGATTTTTTGCAATATTTTCCTAGTATGCATGCTTCACAAGTGAAATTGTCAATTGCCTTAATTTTAAGTAGTCCTCTAACTAGATTGAGCTTAGAAAGTTTACTTAGTCGAGATGGACTCATATGCCCTAGTTTTCTCTGCCAGATGACAGCTAGATCAGTCATAGAACTCAGACATATATCCTCTGATAAATCAATAGTGGATAAATCAACAGTGTATACATTTTCAATTTTCTTTCCTTTAAAGATCACAGCATTGTCACTAATTCTTTCAATGATGCAGCAGAGAGGATCAAATATGACTCGATAAGTGGACCCACATATTTGACTAATGGAAAGCAGATTATGTTTTAATCCTTCTACATAGAGTACATCTTCAATTATAAGTGATGAATTACTGCTAATAGTGCCTTTACCAACTACAGAAGCACAATTATTATTGCCATAGAAAACTTTACCTCCTCTTTTTGGGTTTAGAAAAGAGAAAAGAGCTTTGTTACCAGTCATATGATGCGAGCAACCAGAATCTGAGTACCAGATGTTAGCACCTTTATTATTCTGAAAAGAAGAGTAGGCTTAGTTAGAAGTTTTAACCACCCAAACAAGTTTGGGTTTATGTTTTCTGGAATAGCAATGATCATAGTCATGACCTGATTTCTTACAGAATGAGCATAATTGAGGGTGGTTCCAGTTGCTATATTTTCTATTTTGTTTATGAGAGTAGAAATTTGAGTTATGCCAATTTGAAGGATAAGGAGGAGATTGCATCCAGGAGGTTTTGTTTATAATTCTGGAGCAGCTGCTAATCTCCTTCTTAAGATTTGCAACTTGAGTGTCCTGAGTGATCTGAGCAGTATACCGAATTGCTATATGTTCTTTTAGTTTTTGAATTTCAATATCTTTGTCTTTTAATTGAGTTGTAGCAAGACAATACTTGCTTTTTAATCTATTACACTCTTCCTGTAAGTTAGAAAGGGCATGTAGAAAGAAGTCTTCATTCAAATTTTCTAGGAGGAGTCAGAAATTGAGTCAGACCATACCTGATCTTTTGCATTGTCATCCTCATTATTGGAGTTTAATCCCATGAATGCAACATTGTTGGCCTCCTCCTCTAAGGTGTAGTCGCTCCAGGTAGCTGTCATGGCTTTTTCTTTCTTTTTGTTTAGTGGGCAGTTGATCCTGATGTGGCCTGTTTTTCCACATTTAAAGCAAATAGTTGAGTCAGATTTGTTTTCAGTGTTGCTTTTGACATCTTTAGGACTTGTATCATGTCTGTTAGTTGCAAATGAGCTTTTGTCATTTGAACTTCCAGAGTGATGTCCAATGTTTCTAGGGGAGTGATTGAGCATGTTTCCAGATGGTCTGTAGGAATAACTATTACTTTGACTACCCCTTTTTGCATTTTGATCATGTTTGAATTTCATCATTCTTTGGAGTTTTTTTGCTGGTGAGAGCAAGTTCATTTTCAAACTCCTCATCCAGTTTTTCTCCTTCATTAGCACACATAGAAGTAAAGACTATAGATTTGTTCTTTCTGTCATGAAGGGAGTTCATTTGCTTAAGAACTTCTTCATGACTAAGAAGTGATCTTATTAAGTTCTCTAATGATAGAGTGTTCAGATCTTTAGCTTCTTCTATAACAGTTCTCTTGGCCATCCATTCAAGGGGAAGAGATCTAAGGACTTTTCTAACTAGTTCTTTGCTGGAGAAGGTTTTTCCTAGGCCCTTGAGACGATTTACTAAGGTAGAGAATCTTTTGTCCATTTCAGATATAGATTCTCCTGATAGCATGTCAAAGGTTTCATATTCTTTAAGCAGCAAATCAATTCTAGTTTCTTTAACTTCTGAGGTTCCTTCATGAGTGGTTTCTAGGATAGACCAAATCTCTTTGGCAGTTTCACATTTGTTAACTCTTTCACCTTCATCATCTGATATGGCAGACAACAAAATGTGCATAGCCCTAGAGTCTAATTGAGCACTTTTCTTTTGTTCATTCGACCAATCCTCCTCATCGTCTTCTTTCATGTCAATTGGTCCATTTCGGACATTTGCCCACAATTCACAGTTGATTCCTTGGAGGTATAATCTCATTCTTTTCTTCCATACAGAATAATTTGACCCAGAAAACCAGGGAGGATTTGAGCTAGTAGGGAATGAGTTAGAAGACATAGTGAGTCAGAGGATCTCCTCTTCGGCAACACAAGGTTCCACGAAAAGGGGGCTTTGATACCAATTGTTAAACACCTATGTCTTATCCCATTCTTATTAGATTAACTCAAGATTCACTCGGTAAGGCCGAGGAATAGCAACAGTCAAGAAACAAAACAATCTGATTCACCAGATGAAGGAAGATTCTAACAAAAACGAAGAACAAGCAAACTGAAACAGTCGAGCAGAGCTCTAAGCCCAGATTGAGTTGAGTTCATGGCAACTGCCCCAACTCTACCAATCCAGACACTTTAAACAAGAACCCAATCCAACTCTCCCTAAGAACTAACCAATTCTTCCTGAGCAGTGGAAACCGTTGCCTGTCTCCTTCTTCGCGATGTCCTTAAGTAGGATTCTGAGGCGAGCTCTCGATCTCTCTCTTCTTGAATGATTTTACCGTTTGATCGGGATTTTGACTGGCTTGATTGAAGAAGCCTTGGTGCTAATGCATTTTCTCGATGCTCTGGTGATTAGGTATAATGGAATGAAGGAGAAGACGCTCTCGGTGATCTCGACGACAGGCTAGAAGCGTGGGCTTTGAGTGAAGAGGCCTTTTGGTCGAATCCGTCAGCAAGACTATGGGCCAGGGCCCAACACAGGTGACTAAGGGGACCTTAGTTAGTTCTTAGATTTAGACACGACAATCCAACGGTTAAAAAATGAGGGCTCTTTAATTACTGACATGAATAGTTTGGGTAATATGAAAAGTTATGAAATATACAAAGTGGACTTACAAGTTAAAAACAGTACAAACCATACAAACATACGAACAATACGAAATAGAACAACAAAACATACAAACAAACTTACAAACAATACAAATCATACGAACTATACAAACAATACAAAGTAGACCGACAAACAATACAACCCATAAAAAAATGGAAAAACAACCATGTTGACTTTTGATACTCCATCCCTATATAGAACGACACCGTCCCAAAGTCATCCCTATGCAAACAATACAAAGTAGATCGACAAACCATACAAAATGGAAAAATACTCGAGTTGACTTTGGAGACTTCATCTCTATATAGAAGAGTTAAGTCCAAAAGTCAACCAAGTTGTTTTTTAGATATAAAAAAACATTACAAACATGGTTGACAAAACTGGCAAACATGTTGGACCAAAATAACAAAACTTACAAACATTACAAAAGAAACCAACAAACATTACAAAGCTTACAAACATTACAGAATAAACCGACAAACATTACAAAACATACTAACAATACAAAATAACACTACTTACAATACAAATCGATAAAATTGTATTAAAAATCAACGAATACAAAATGTACAAATCATAACATAAAAATGTACAAACTAGACAAACAAACATTACAAATTACAATATATATACAAAATAGTAATCTAAACATTACAAAAATAATAGACAAACATGACAAACAGTAATCATAAACAATACAAACTGAATTTACATAAACATTACAGACAAGACTAATAAAAATTAAAAATAGATCGACAAACATCACATTTAGCACTACACCGAAAAATCCACCTCCGTAGTCTCTGGTCGCCGAAAGGCTACCTCTGATCGCCTGGAAAATCTCTTTCTCCTGGAGAAAAGTCCTCATAATAGTCACACTTGGAGAGATAAGTCCCCACAAAAGGTGACCGCCGGCGGGCTTGGAGGGGAAAATTCCCCACTGCCGGAAAAGTGGACCTCGCCGGAAAAAGTGGTCACCGACGGGGGTGTATTTCTCTGGGGCGCGAAAGGGAGAGGTCCGGCCATCTTTTATATTTTAATTAATAAATTAAATAATCCTACAATTACTATATTGTCATTCATTAAATTGAATTAGTGAGAGACATTGGATTTTAATGAGATGTAATGACTGAGATTCACTTAGTCATGTGACCCCCTTAGTCACCTGATTTTAGATTTATATATATATCTACAGGGCTGTGAGTAAGAGGTATAATTAATTTTTTTCCACAACAATTCGAGTTATTGGATTCAAATGGAATAATGAATTTTATAAATAATGTACGAATAAGACTTTTTCAAAATGGAACCAAAATAGATATTAAAAAGAAATTTTTGGAATGAACTGGTTTATAACACGACATTAAAGCTTATTTTATCGAGTAATCGTGGGCTTTCAGGCGGTTTCTTCGTTGACTTGATCGATTTCTGCATGCAGTTCCTTCTCGTTGACAAACCCACAAGCAACTGCCTCTCCCAGCTAGTTAGTTTCTTACCCCCATGCTTTTTGGGGCTACATACAAACAACATGTTCCAGAGGTAGAGGAACAAACACCCACGAAACCCACTCCTCTTCCAGTTTTTATTCATCAATTTCACAAATCACACGATCCACACACCATCATCAAAATTAAACCACTCTGCCGCCCTCTGCCTATATATATATAGTCTCTCTCCCAACACACACAACAAAATCCAGCAAACTAAACCTGCACACCTTCATCCCACAGGAAAACCATCATCGATCGTTCTAATACCAAACATGGAGAGCAGAAGCGTTACATTATTGACTGCACTGGCAATGATGCTAGCGCTGTTCCTCGCCGGGCCGGGCCAGTGCCAGCCGTCGTCGGTGGCTGATCCCGGCAGCTCCTACAAAGGGCACAAGGCGTGCGACCCAATGTGTTTCGTGAAATGTGCGCTGTCCGGAGGGGACATCAACTGCTTCGGCAGCTGCATACTGCAGTGCCTCTTCCCGACCACCGGCGGAGAGCCCGACCGCACCGATCCCCAGGCCGCCTGCATGGCCGACTGCGCCGTCCCCGCCTGCGCCAAGCTCTGCACCAAAGCCGAACCATGTATGTCCATATATATATTTATAATTTGTCGACACATCTTTTGGCCGTTGTTATAAGCAGTATAGTCAAAAGCGCGTTTTCACGATTAAGTGTTTTGGTGATTTTGACACGTAAAATCGTAAGTTTTTAAGTGAGCTTTTAACTACATTAGTTATAAAAATGGAGATTATGCGTAGAAGCATTTTGGTGACCTAGAAGTGTAAAATCGTAAGGTTTTAAGTTTTAAAGCGCGATTTTGACTACATTGGTTACAAGTAAATCTAACACGTTACTTGACTGATTGATTAGTCTCCAAGGGAACGGAACTTTGCCTGGAGTCTTGCGGAGACCACTGCGCAGACGTGAAGAAGCAAGGGAGCGGAACTTCGCCATGAATTGAACATCATGGTGGCGCGGTTTCATCAATGGTGGGGGATGGACCGTCGTAAAATTAAGTTCGATCCTTTGTAATATCTTTCACTATACTAAGATATGGGTTTAAATAAAACGGACACTCAAATTTACGAATGAAGTCGGTGTCCATATAATATGTATGCAATTGATGTATCGGTTTCATATTTCAATATATATATAGTTTGATAAATGAAGTTTTTTTTTATATATATTTGGTTCTTAACTCACAACAATGCAACATAACCACGAAATTCCTTATTTTGTCATTGCTCCAAAATCTGGCTACTATACACATCTATGAGGTTGGAACACAAAATTTTACGCGTATATAAGAGGCTTAATAGAGAATCCGAGTGTAAGTTCACTATGTAGTTACGAATTATCAATTTGCTGCTTATAAATGAGATTGTTTGTTTTTAATCACTTTATGTTTGCGCCAATAAGTATGATGCAACTCGACACAAAGCACAATTACAATCCACGAGTAAAAATAGGCTAATACCCATGAAACAATTTCAAAGATCCTATCAAACCTCACAAAGGGGAACACAAGCCTCTGCCTATAAGTAGCCCATTAGGCATTCCAAGTACGAGGTTCTCCTCCTCTCATTTGGGAGCATAAAACTTATCTCTCTATACCTTTAATCTCTATATTTCCTTATCACAATACTAATGTTGATTGTCAGAGGGTAGACGACGAGGCTTCCCACATCCTTCCTCAAATCCAGCCTTTTGTTTTGGTAATTAAGGGCGAAGCATTTTATTAGGGTTATAGGTATAATATGCCCCTCTACTATGTAGTTTTATCAAACATGCCCCTAGACTATTTTTTATATCAAACATGTCCTTGTACTTTGGAAAAATGATCAAACATGCCCTTCTGTTAATATTTCCATTAAAAAATCGCCAACCATGGTTGAACCGAGATGTAGATGACCCGACATCGGCAAATGAGAGCGAAAATGTCAGTTTTGTTCCCCATTTTAATTTTCTAGGGCTCGTTAAAGTGAAATCATTAGAGGTATTTGGCTCTACAAAAGAACCCAAAATTTTTTAAAGTGAAATTACCAAGGATATTTTAGACATTTGTTTCGCCCAAATCAAGGTACGACCATGATTGACTGTTTTTGGATGGAAATATTAACAGAAGGGCATGTTTGATCATTTTTCTAAAGTACAAGGGCATGTTTGATGTAAAAAATAGTAGAGAGGAATATTATACCTATAACCCTTTTTATTAGTATTATGAAAAGGAAAAGGGAGAAAAAATGGATGGTAAGATTACAAAATATTGGAATAACTGGTCTCCCGTATACTAAAAGTTATTTCATACTATTTTTTTTTTAATTTCATGCTAAAATTATAATAATAACATTTTCCATACCTTACAATTAAATCAAATAAATCTCCACTTTGTTGTCATAATGATTTTTCTTTTATAATGAAATTAAATAAACTTTCCTTTTTAACAAACTTTCAATCTACCAATACCTTAACCGAAGTTCATATCTGTCCGTTTATAATTAAAAAAATGAAAGAATCTTGAAAAAACTTTGAATTTTTTTTTCTCTTGTCTTGAACTAACTTTGGAAGTTATAAATGTTACAAAAGCTGGTAATGGAGATTATGATATCTATGTTATATAGGTGTCAATGACTCAATACAATAGAGTAGAAGTTACCTATCGATACCGAAACCAAATATGAATAATCGATTTTGTGGTATGGCATATGTATCACGAATATTTAACATAGAGTAGTCATAGTAGTTTGGATCATTTATACCAATATAAAAAAGCTACCTAATTAAAACCATAGAAATTGAAAGTAGACATGGACTATTAAAACCCCCAAGTCAGTGACCATCACTACAGCAAAACAAGTTTATAGGCCATGCTTGTTGTTGCACGATGCTAGCTTCATTAGAATATCGAGCAACAATGAACTCGAATTAGGTTTAAGATATAAGAAACTCCATAAACTGCATCAACGTGCTTTTAGCACGGCGAGCAAATGGCTTGGCTAAGGATGTTTATTAAACTGCACATGTGATGTTAAACTCTTTACAATCAAGTATAAGAAACAGTAAACGAATCGTCTGGATACTTATTAAACTGCACATGTGATGTTAAACCATTTACAATCAAGTATAAGAAACAATAAACGAATCGCCTGGATACTTTTTAAATAAAGGAACGACTAAGATAATATACCTGAAAAAATATTAGAATGAGTATTGCCTACTTCAAGTTATTTCATGCTAATTATAATTTTTCTACACATTAAAAATGAAATCTCAAATCTCATAACAACCCTCAAATAGGTTTGATAGTTCTTCTTTTTAGATGATAAAATCAAATAAAATTCATTTACTTACTAATACCCTGAATCCCTGGCCACCTACCCCTGAAGTTCATTTCTCATTGCACATAATTAAAAATTAAAGGAATCTTGAACCAACTTTTGGAAGTTCGAAGCGCTACAAAAGCTGGTAATGAAGCATATAATTTACAAGTTATATTTGTATTAATTTAATGACTAATTTTGAAAATATCCGTTACTGTCTATCTATTATGAATGTCCAACATATATGGATAATTCGTGATAATATGGATAATTTACATCAATGTGAAAAGCTACTTGATTATCACAAAAGAAATCAAGAGTACGGATAGACTGAGCCTCTGACTCAGTGACCAATCACTACAGCTAGCTAGCCAAACAAGTTAATTAATCGTGCTTGTCGTTACGTGGTAGTAGCTTCATCAGAAAATCGAGCAACAATCATACGCAGTTGTGAGTTTAGCATACAATTTCGAAAAACTTTTTGTTGGTCTAAGATGGACTTATCCCAGTTATATGATATTCTTTTTTACACTTAACCTTAAGGCGATTGGTTCAAGTTTTAAGACGGACTTATGAATATGATTGACACGTTGATCTCTAAGACGAGGAAAATTCATATGACATCTTCATGTTCTCTTCAACCTTAAGGTGAATGATTTAAGTCTCAATGGCCCCTTTATAAGCTTTAAGGGATGGGCACACCCATAAACCAATTATAGGGGGAAGAAAGTGTTACTTTCACAGTTGTGCTTGACATGGATTCATTTTCTAAGCTCGCGATGGTGCAAACTTGAAAGAAGATGCCAGTAGCTAAGTGAGAAACGGAAGGAGGAGAGCTCCAACACGTCCACAATTTAAACGATTTCATTCTGCGTCATAAGTTTATCTGTAACATTCTATATACTTTGCTTTCATAGACAAAGAGAAATTGTACTTCCACACCACCGCCTGCAATTCTACATCAAATGGATAGAGACCCTATAACGTTTTTCAGGCTGACAACAGTAGCAATATTCTCCCCTGCTTCTACTTCTGAATTGGTCTCATCTTCTGATAAGTAAAACTGGTCTCCCTTCTTCAGTCTCTGGTTAGCTAGTTAGTTTTGTGCAAAGGTTAAAGGACTTGATTAGTTACAGGTTAAGAAGAAAGGAAAAAAAGGGTCAGAAGGGTTGTGCAGAATACAAAGCTATGGGTCAACTGCAGCTAGCGAACTATGACTCGACCTTCAAATGCCTTGTCTCGGAGTTCCATTGTCTTGCAATGTCTTCTGCAACTTTTTGTGCATCCATGGAAGTTCCAAGCAATCCTCTCTTGGTGAACCCAATGCAGTAGAGTCCATTGTTTCCTTTCCAGCTGTTTGGGAATGGGGTTCTCGGGTACCCATCCTTTTCGTTGAAGAAGTTCTCCTCCTTGAGCCATGAAGTTACGTTGCTTCTGTAGCCTGTTGCTAGAATCGCTGCATCGAATTCCTTCACTCTGCCATCCACAAACTCCACCCCATTCGTCGTGAATCTTCGAATCCCACGAACAATCTGATTGAATAGAATTCATCAATATTTTCCAAAGAGAAGATGGATTTCTGCTGACAGAAATGGATGAAAAAGGTTGTTTTGTTACCTTGATTTGGCCAGACTTGATTCTGGCAAAAGCTCCAAAATCCAAAACAGGGGTCTTCCCAGTGGAGTTCTTCAACTCCAAGGGCCCAATATCAGGCCTTTTGATCCCAGATCTACTTGTGTCACCAAGAATCAACCTTGAGACAAAGATGAGGAACTTGTCGACTAGTTTCACTGGGAACCACTTGAGCAGCAACATTGATAGTGCAAAAGTTGAGATCCCTAGAATCTCTCTAGGCAATATATGCAGCTGCAATGCAAAGAATTCCATGGTTCAATAAATTGAAACAAACAAAAGAACATATCTTTTTACGTCTGTAGAGAAAACTGAAGAGGGAAATTTGTAGTCTTTTTTACCTTATCTCTGACAAAGAGGGAAACATCAGCACCATTATCAAACAAATCCAAGCTAACCTCCATTCCAGAATTCCCACAACCAACTACGAGAACTTTCTTCCCTTTGAATTCACCTCCATCTCTGTAGCTGCTAGTATGCAGAGTCCTCCCTCTGAAACCTCCCAGCCCTTCAATTTCAGGCAGGAAAGGGTCAGCATTCTCACCAGTGGCAACAATCACCCACCGGCATATGAACTCATACCCACACGCTTGAACCTGCCAGAACCCCATGTCCGGATCATACTGAACTGCTCGAGCCTCCTGACGAAACACGGGCTTGATAGCAAAGTGCTTGGCATAGGCCTCCAGGTAAGCTATGAACTGTTGCTTTGTTGGGTATGCAGGGAAGTGAGGTGGGAATGGGAAGTAAGGCAGCTCACAGAACTTCTTCGGAAGGTGGAGTTGCAAACGGTCGTAAGTCCCAAACTGCCACAGAGACGCCAAGCAGCTTCCTTTCTCAAGTATCAGAAATGGGATTTCTTTGGTCTTAAGGCAAGCGGCCGCTGCAAGCCCTGAAGGTCCTGCACCAATGATCACAGGGCCAGGAACCCACACCAGCTTCGAACCCGGGATCATTGGCTGCTGGAATATCTTGCTCTTGCTGCTGTTTATGGCGGGTTCATTCAGTTTTTGGCGCATAACTTGATTATGCAACCAAGTCAGCTGTTTGTTGAGTTTCTGGGGAGAGCTATACCCTATCTGTGAGCAGAAAGGGGGGTATAAAAGAGCTGGAGAGAGAGGAAGCTTTAGTTCTAGTAAAGGAGAAGGTATCTTTGGCCCAAAATTTGCCTGAAAATGATGTCGTTCACATGCATATGGGAAGGGAGGAAGTTGTGGATAATGCGTGGAAAGCTGGAGGAGGAAGGAGTAGTTGCCTTTGTTGGGTACTCTTCTGCTGCTTCTCCCTGCCAATATGAAGAAGAAAGCAAGGCCATTAATCGATGGAGCTATTCTGGGTTTTATAGGCACTCAAGGAGTCTCATGTCTCCATGGTTTGGCAATAGGGCAGAGTTTGGAGAGGCAAAGGAAAGAAGGGAATGAATCTCAGTGAAACACCCCAATCCAACAGTGTGCAAAATGCTTAATCTGAATAACAGTTTCTTGGGTTTTAGCCTCTTTATGAGTGCCAAGGAAATCCTGTCCTTGTTTAGAAATGGTTTCCTTAATATTTCTTTTTTGTTTTGTTTTGTTTTTTTTTTTTTTTTTTTTTTGTTTTGGGTTGGGTAATGGTGAAGCGTCTGGAAATTGGAATCTGTTGACGGCCCAATAAAACCAACATTCCTCGGTTTTGTCGTTACAGTTGTTCTCATCCTGCTGTAACATTGAATGCCATATGTGCTCAGCTAAGCACAGAGCAAGAAAACAACGGTTTCCCTGGGTCGCTATCAGAGAGAAGCACTCCAATGGGATGATGCAAGAAGTAGGGAAAAGAGCCAAACCTAATAAGGGTAAAGATTTGCTGGGTGTCAATTCACTCACTATTTAATTACTGAAAGAAGGGGGGGAAGGTTTTGATTGTCAACGATTTCACCGTCGGCGTTTTGTGGTGGTGGTGAGAATGAGAGCGAGAGGCCTTTGGCGTTTTGGCCAGCTGCAGTAATACAGAGCAGATATTCTTGTTTCTGGTAAGGTGAGGTTTTATGTGGTTCAAGTGCGAACCGCAAAGCAGAAGGATTCAAGCAAGTGGTGACGACGCACAAAGAGAAGGGAGGGAAAAAGAACATCGTTTTGGATAGAGAAAAGTAGGCATGGTGCGTTCACTTTTTTCGCATTTCCGTTCTACTTGACACGGCCGGATTCACCATCTTGCCCCATAGCTCCAGCCTCTGCCCAGAAGGACGCATGGCCGTCTTATGCGAGAGTCGTGCAACCTCAGCCGTTGGATAGCCAGGACGAGCACAAATTAAGCTACGCATTGTTCGACGTGGAAGGCTCGCGAGCTAGCTTCAATCGGTGATTTGTTGAAACCAACTCGCGAGCTAACATGTTTTGAGCTATGATCTGGCTTTATAATGTGGCTAGCCAGCCACCTCGACTAGGTTTTAAGTGTGTGAGGGCTTATTGATAAATCATAGTTTTGTTAGATTCTATATATCATTACAAATGATACATAAGACTTTGGGTACACGAGCAAATGTCTCGCTTATAATTGAAAATATCATGGATTGTTTAGATACTAATTATTATTAAATAACATGATATGGACAAATAAAATTTATGAGCTAAATAATATGATACTAGAGCTCGAATTGACATCGCAAGCTAGTTGATGAGCCGAACTCGATTAGAACTCGTGAGCTCATTAATGAGTTGAGCTAGAGTCAAACACACAAGCCAGGATTTCACTAAACGAGCTGACTTCAACTAGTTTATTAACAAGCTGAACTCAAAATATGTCAATACTCAACTCGACCCTGCTCATTTACAACTATACCTGGGGTTTGGAAGTTATCACCCACTCCAGCCATTGAAGGGTTGGGGTCGTGCGACCCCCATGTCGAGAAACTGGTTAGTTACGCAGATGTATCAGCATACCAAACGAAAAGCATGAAGAAAAGGCTTTGCACAGTGTTCTGAGAGAGGTCTTCCATGGGTTTGGACGAAAAGTTGTAGAGACAACTCCATTTGGAGACCTCTTCCCTTCCACACAATCTTCCCTACCAGCACAAGGAAACTTGTCATCTCTGGTAGGCGTTTCCCTAATTCCACCAGGGAACTCAATCTCCCATCAGAAGAGGACCGAATCGACGGCCGAGGTTAAGAATCAGCTCAATTCGATCTCTGGTTAGGCAATGTTGAAAGCCAAGCCAAGTAAAAGGAACCTAAAGAGTACGTGGATGTACACCAAAACAAAGCATAGAAACCAGAAACAGCCAAGAAGCTTAGGAGGCTAGGGACCCAACATTTCCAACTCTGGGGCAACTGAATTGAATTGCGAAAAGGAAAAGAAAAGTTGGAGTAAGCTACAGAAACCTATCTCTTCACCAAACCTAAAACTGGTTACCATCGCATTCTAATGTGTACGTCACAAAACGTCCTACACAGCAAGTACAAGAAAATGGGCGGCAGGGATTCGCCAAACCAACAGACATGCCACATGTCAGTATAGCATAAACCCTCCAATCATTTGCCCTATCATTATTAGGCTCCCACTAATTTCCCCAATCACTAACAGGGAAACCCCATCGATGGATCAAAGTACACAAAGAAGAAGAAGAAGATTTCTTCTTCAATTTTGACTAACTCAGAAAGAAGATTTCTTCAAAAATGCCTTATCTCTATCCGACACACAACACATTATCTCCGATGTACAACAAACCCACTAACGAGAATAGGGAGGGGAAGAGGAGGGGAAAGTATGTAGGGCTGACTTTCAGTTAAAGGTACAAAAACAGTAGCACATGATTAAAACCCAACTTTAACTTTACCCCCCTTTCTCCCTCCCAGCCTGAAGGAAGGGCTTCTAGTTTCGCACTCACAATTGCCAGCCCCATGGTCCATTCCCATTCACATGCCAACACAAGGAAAAAAGCTTTACCGCCTCCATTAAAGCCGAATCTCTGTCTCACCAATCTTTGAAAACCTTTATGTGGCCCAAAAAGGAGTGCTTCAGAACAATAGATTCTTACCGGATTCGAGTGCTTGTAAAGAGATTGATCTCCTCGTTCTGAAGCTCTCCTGATAACCTGGGTTGATTCCAACATCTGTGATAAAGGCATATTCAGAAACCTGAAGAAAAGATCTGTTTACCAAGCACGGACACATAGTTAGCGGCTTTGGGATGAAAGTAAGATTTCACATAGCTTGATAGAGTAGCACCGGTTCGAACGGATTTTTTTTACATTAAATCATCTATCTTCCTAGATAATGGCTCAACGGTTCCGGACACGAACAGTAATTAATGATATGACAAACTTCTGAGAGACTAAAAACCTGGTGATGAAATGAGAGGGTGAGGGCAGTGGCTGTGGATGCAATCAATTTGAAGGTGGCGGCGGCATCATATTTGGGGGCGGAGGAGGTGGTTGCATCTGTTGCATGAGGGGCCTACCAGCCAACTGCTGGGGAGGAGGTGGCTGCCGCCACATTTGTTGCGGTGGCTGACCTCCCATCATTGCCATTGGCTGAGGCGGAGGTCTTGCATAGCCTCCGGGAATTCCCTGGGGAGGTGGTGGTGGCATGTTTTGAGGTGGAGGCCTGAACTGAACTGGAGGTGGTGGAGGCATATGTCCCATGGGTTGACTTGGTTGTGGAGGCTGACCCTGCCAATGGGGTTGTCCACCACCCATCTGCATTGGGGGGAAGGCTGGGTTTGGTGCACGCAACTGAGGGACTACCGGACTTGGAGGAACAACACCATTTGCAAAAGGACGGGGTGGCACTGGTGCACCAACCATAGCACCATTTGCCTGAGTGACACCAGGAAGTGTAGGAGGGCCACTGGCAAACATGGTATGGGGTCGACTTTTTGTAGTATTCTGATTGCTGGCAGCCAACACTCTCTCTGCATTATGAACCCAACAAGTTAAATAGTGTCCAAGCAGACTCATCCGACAAAGAACCATCGAAACCAGATGATGAAGTAACTCACCTGCCAGGGTCCCATGACGTTCTCCTTTAGTGTCTTTCTTATAAGCATATGACACTGTTATTTGACGATTGCACAGGTATTGACCAGTCATTGCCTGTTATAAGTCCGCGAGTCAGAATTATATTATCAGCGAAAAAATTCTTGAATCAACATAGCAAATTCACGAGCAATTATTTTCTTGAAATAATCAACTTCAGAAACATATAATTATATGGAAGGAAATTACCTCAATGGCAGCATCTGAAGCCTCAAAAGAGTCATAACTAATGAAACCAAAACCACGGGAATTTCCTGTTTCTGGATCTCTCATTATCTAATAAAACCAAGTACCGAAGTCAGTACAAATAACTAAACAAACATATTTTCGTAGGCAAATGATAAAAAATAGTTACAAGGGGATGAAGCAAACTCCATAAGGCAAGGTCAATGTGGACTCAACAAATAAAAGTAGCAAACATAACATACAGGCACTAAGAATGTCTAAAGCAATGTTATTGTCTTAATTCTTACACTTGCAAAAGAAAGCAAATATTAATTGCTTGATTGCACTCATAATGTAAAACTATAGAAGCATCCAGCCTTCATTTCAAGGAACTTCACTGATATTGCTCCTTTTCTTATATCTATACACAAACCAAAACCTAACTCAAGAGGAAAGAGCTACATAGTGCACGCAAGATAGGCAACGGAAACACCCAATTTCGCGCTCAGAAAGTGAAAATTCTAGCCATAGCTTGTATTTTAAGGCTCAAATCTCTAACTTCAAGGTTGGGAAAACGAAAACAATAATCTCAGTGACAATATTACACACAATGTAAAAATGGCAGAACTAAAATGATAGCGGATGGGCTGACCTTGGGATTGCTAACGATTACTCCAAATGCACTGAAAGTGTCGTGCAAAAGCTTTTCATCAACATCCTGCAAAGAAGACAGCAACACACAATGGTGTTTAGTTAAGTTACACCAAATGCATATCCATGATGCATCTTACTAGAGAAATCGAACGAATAAACCTACAGGATCAAGGTTTCCAATGAAAAGATTCGCCCCAACATCCAAGCTCTTTTTGTCTTGTGACGCCTGAAAACAACAGTGTATCCCAAATTGTGTTAAATATTCCACATGAACCAGAAAGAGCTTCAGACTGTAAACGAAAGCAGAGTCACATACCTTGTTCACACGAATCGGCTTCCCGTATAGTTTAATCATGTTCAACACCTTAATTGCCTACAAATTAGTGGAAACAAATGTAAAAAACAATCACCATTGGCAAGTTTCATTCAGCATCTTCTCGCAACGGTGAGGCATTCAATAATAAATGAACATCGAAAACCGGAAACCTGCTTACATAGTCAGCATCTTCTTCGCTTCTGAATTCCACGAATCCATATCCTTGGTGCAGGTTAGTCACCCTATCCTTTGGCACATAGACATTCACTGAACCAGCGCAAGCAAAGAGATCCTCCGAAATTAAGTTCAAAACCTCAGAGCTCGAATTAAGAAATACCGGAACAGAAGATAATTTCGGAAGAAATTGAGTGGACGAGGGAATGCATACCTACGGGGCCAGCTTGAACGAACAACTCCCACAGTAACTCCTCGCTCATCTATCAGAACAAACCAGAGCAAGGAACTAAATCTCAGCAGACTGTAAAGAACGGAAGGAACCACAGAAGGGAAGAAGAAGGGAAAGTGGATGAACCTGGGGATCGAGGTTACCGACGTAAGCGGTGGCATCCTGATTCCTCTCGGCAGAGTGCTGGCCGAGCAAATTCGCCCCGACGCCGGGAGTGATTCGAGTCGTCATTCCTTTAACTGTCTATCGTTCCCTCGGCTATCGTCGTTCTTCTAACCTTGTCTGGTTTCTTCAATGGTAAAACCCTAGACCCTTCCCTTTTCTGCTTCTCCGAGATTGCTGCAAAGTCTCGCTCTCTCGCTGGAGTTTACGAGCAGTATTCAGAAGTAAAGGAAAAATTAAAATTAAAATCACACCGCGAAAAGGAACAGCGTTGTGGTGGGTGGCGGCTATTTGCATACCACGGCGTCGTTTGTTTAAAGCGGGAAGCCGGAAGCGAGTCTGGACTTCACGGCCCAAAATGTATTTTAAAAAGCTTAAAGTTCATAGATTGGGCTTATAACGACAAAACACATAGACATTCAGAACACATGGCCAGTGGTTTGTTTGTTATAGGCCCGATTAATGTCTTCCTAGGTCATCACTAGGAAATATGTTATAAGCCACATTATCCCATTCCGAGGCCCAGTATTTGATGGAAGTGGAAATGTGGAATCACAATCTTAAACGGTAATTGATAGTAGGGCTGGGAATCTATCTAGACCAAACTATACGAGAAACCACGATCCAAATCAGATCGTATGGTTTGGTGACTTGGCTCGGATTGTGGGACCAAAATTACGGTTTGGCCTAGTTTGTGGTCTCCCCCTTTAGTTTGTGGTCTGATACGGTCTGGACCGTACTAAACCGTGGTTAATTGCGATGGATCGTGACCTACAACTCACTAATCTAAATCAAAATAGCACTAAATCTCCATTTATGCATTTGGAAGTAGTGGAGGACATTGGATGGTTCGGGTGGATTTTGTCCATAAAATGCACCCACACACGCTTAAACAGATTAACAATTTTTAACCCACCATCCACCCACATTTAGTCTCGACTTGGGTCGGGTGGATGCGGATGATGCGGGTGGGTTTGCGGGTTCACCCACATCACAATGTATATAATATAAAGGAGTCAACTTGACATGATCCATTTATATTTCAGAACCCACTGTCAAATGTCAATATGTAAAATAAAAATCCAATTCAACATCCATTTCACCCTATAAATTTAATATTCACTTCAAGTGGCAAGATAGTTGGTGGAGAGTTATCGGACGGAAACAAGAAGATGGAATAGGAAGAAAAAATGTCGAATTAGTTATGAAATTGCATAGAAGTTCTATTATGGAGGTGTTTTCTGCGGATGGAGATGATTATCGGGTGCAGGAAAACAAGAAAAACAATTCAACGGAGGAAATAGAGGTGATTTTGGCACAAGAATTAGAGAAAAAAATAAAGGGAAGAAGAGGGAAGTAGAGATTTCAAAGATTGGCTTTGATATTCAATCTCCAGGAGTATCCCTAGTTTCCGTCAACATCTCCACTCTCCACTATCAAGCGTCAACGACTTTGTTCTTTTTGCTGTTGGGTTGAGCGGGTCACTCACGCCCCCCCCCCCCACCCGCCACCCGCGCGGATGGCTCCCTGCACAACCCGTCACCCACCCACATACCCATCCGCATGACGAAATTCGGGTCAAATGCGAGCGGATCGGCCCAAACCCATTGGCGACCCGCCCGCATGCCCAACCCTATTTGGAAGAACAAATTGAGCATGATCAATTCGCCCATGGCGAACAAACACTCTGACCTTCCTATTATAGATTTCTATATAAGCTTAATAAATCTGTTGATTTTTCATCCAACTAAAAACCAACATACTACTCAAGCGATCTCTATTTGTTATCACCTAATGAAACAACCACACGAAAACAAGAAAAGATGGGAAGGAAGATCATCTGAACTATCCATGTAGAATCCCGAGTCGATTATATAGAAATTCAAAACAAAATTTATTTACTCGAGTGAGATAAGCGAAATTCGCCAAACTAGTGGTTTAAAACAATCTCGACTTCTTCGTGGTGAAAATTGAGTGCGAGAATCTTTTAGACCACCTCGAAAAGGGAGAGAAGCGATAACACAAAAAGAAAGAGGGAGACAAAGTTATTTGTTGAGTTTTTATTTTAAGTGAATAGTCGATAGAGTAGTGGAGATTGGAGTAGGAGTAAGAAATCTAAAAATGTACACTTTTCTCCACATATTTCTTCGCGGATTAATTACGCTCATTAAATTTTGTTTTCACTAGTATATTTGGCACTGAACTTTTTATTTTTATAGATACGGAAGAGGATTGGAGGGTTGGAGAAAATCGAGTGAAATTTTACTGAACATGGTATGCTTGATCTAGACCGTACCAAACCGCACCGTATACAAGTGTGGTCTGGTATGGACCATATAATATATGGTCTGATCTATAATTTGTTTTCTAATATATTGATCTGGACTACAAACCGTATCTATGGTCTGGTCTGAACAGAACCGCACTGTTTCCCACACCTAATTGTCACTAATGACACAATTCACTCTGCATTGTGTATCTCCACTGTGAGTACATATAGATAGAAAGAGACTGTCGTCATAAATTCACTATGTAGCTGCCGACTGCCGACTGCCGTAGACTGGAATACAAGTGCAAAGACCGGAATTGGTCGTCATATATGATGAGGCATTGAGGCATCTCTACTCTAGCTAGCTGGAGTTACATGTACTGTCTACCTGGTTACATTTGGTAGTTACCGGTGAGAGATGAATCATAAAACCGAAAAGGAACAAACAAACCAACAGCGACCAGCTGGGGAAAAAGATGGAGGCCAAACAAGAAAACAGTAACAATAAGCGCTTCCCCCGAGGCCGAGGAGCTCATGAGACATGAATCATGATGTTGATCAGGAGCCAACCGATGGACAATTATGTTATCAAGATGATATGAAAATCGTACATCAATGGCGGAACGAGTAAAGTGGAGCTTTCTCCAACCTCTCCTCTCTTAATTCCTTTTTCTTCTCTTTTCATCAAACAAATCGATTGCGTAGAAAGTCATTAATTCCCCTTTTCATCTGGCTTTTGGGGGAGAATGATCGTTGATAGGATATTTTCGTTTGTGTGGTATTTATTGGTCCTGTAATTTGTTCTCCCAGAAATTTGTAGATGCAATAGATCATGATGAACTCGTTCTTTCTGTGCAAACGTTTTCAAAAACGAATTAAAAACGAAGAAGATACCATATGGTATGCAGTTGGTACCGAGAGGTAAGGAATTTGTTTTTCAAAAAAAATTGAGAATTGATCTCATTTTGTAGAGCACAACGAACTCGTTCTATCTTTGCAACAACAAAAAAAAAAGAGTTAAAACGAATAAGATATGAGCCGATTAAGAAAACTAAGGAAAATAAAAATGATTTTTAATTCTCCATCCTTAGATCTGAATTTTCTAAATGAAAGATCCATATTTAATTATTGATGGATGCATATGGTTATGCAGCGTATCTTGAGCCTCTTTGTGCACCATAGACTTGAGGTTTACAGCTGCAAATCAAGTATCCTAATAAAGTCATGCACAATCTCAAATTTTGTTGTTGGTTTCTATGATGTCGTCACAAAAATAAGTGTCCATTATGAAAATAATTTTAAGACAATGAATTTTGAATTTCATCGGGTAGCATTACCCTATAGTACATAATTATAGGGTAATTAGCACAAAAGGTCACAAACCTATGCACTTAGTACAAAACGGTAACAAATCTTTAATTTTGCATGTTTCATTAACAAATGTTTGGACGAATAACGAAAATGTCATTCCGTCCAATTCCATTCAAAATACCCGTTACTTTTACCTAGTCAGCGTGCCACATCATTTAGAATATTATTAAAAAAATAATGATAAAACCCAATCAAAACAGACTCAATCCAACTCGTTGCCGACTCAAACCCTCATCACCGTCGTCTGACCCACCACATCAAATGTAAATCCCATAAAGTTGCAGCTGAACACAGTAGCACAATCCCCAACGCACTCCCCACGCTGCGCGCCACCACCACTTTCCACACTGCCCACTTCGCTCTCGCTCCTTCCCCCGCCGTTACCGGTGTAGATGACGGACTCTGCGCAAGCAAAAGCTTCACGACCAGCCCAAAATGCTCGTTGATGGTGAGGGGGTTTCCCTTGGTGGAACGGATCCCGACCTCAAAAGGGTAGTTGGAATTGGGGCTATTGCTCCTCATCTTGCCGACAACATCACTCTCTTGGGGCATGGGTAGAGCAAGACACCGATTCGCTGGCGGAATTCGTCGATCTGGACGCCGTGGCGTGTCAGGCTGCCGCACCGGAACCTGGCCGCGTGAGGCGTGATGCTGGAGAGATGGGTTTCTGGTTGTTTTTTGGTTGGGTTCTAATGGAATTGGTTCTGTGTCAATTGGAATTTATCATTACTGCATATGTCGAGGGATTTAGAGAGGGGGAGGTTGGACAAGGGATAAAGCATCCTTCGTTTACCCTTCTTCTTTTTTGGCAAGGGTGTATCTGAAAGCACCAAAAGAAATGAGAGAAACAAAGAAATAATGGAGTCCGCTAAGGTTTGATTCTATGTCGATTGGGAATAAACGGAAATAAGCAACTTTTGGGGATTTCCATTGGATGCGAAGGGAAGGTTCGGCGGGCTGAAGATTTTGAGAGATTGAGGAGATGTTTTTGGCGGAGGCAGGGTCGGCGGTGGAGTAAACGATGGTGACGTGGGGGTTGACTTGATAACCGGTTGTGTTGAGTTTGGGTTGGTTGGGTTACATCATTAATTTTTTTATTAATATTTTAAGTGATGTGGCATGCTGACTGAGCATGAGTAACGATTTCTCTGGATGTAATTGGAAAGAATGACATTTTCGTTATTTGTCCAAACATTTGTTACTGAAACGTGCAAAATTAAAGATTTGTTACCGTTTTGTACTAAGTGCATAGGTTTGTGACCTTTTGTACTAACTACCCCATAATTATAACTAATTCATACATTACCATAAAGCGTAAACATTAAATTATGAACCCTAAGCCCTAAAACCTTAAAATCAAAATAAATTTCGAATGTTTTTCCCCTATATTCGTGTCTTTTCTTGTCCATCATATTACAAGTCACAAAAATTAACATCTTTTCAATATAAAATACTTACTCAAAAAATAACTATTACACTCCAAAAAAGTTACTAGCACGTTTACAAGTTCAGTTCATCCATGTTAATGTTGAGACATATTGATATTACACATACTGAATAGTTTTTGCAAGGGTCAAATTATGTGGAAATAAAGCAAGCAATCATATAATTGTTGAGCTTTGCCATAACCACAACCCAAATGGGAAACATATCCATAATCACAGTTAGGAGCCTCTCTCGTCAATAATTTGAAATTAACCGAAAGACAAAGAGGCCATCATTGTCCATTTTCTGGGGCCAAAAGAAGAAAGAAGAGACTGAAGGGTTAGCAAGTGATCTCGTTGCTGGCTATCTCCTAATACTGTGGGGGGGTAATAGTGAAGGTACAATAGTGAGTTTATTAGGAGGAACAAACAGAAGCTACGCATGCCGTTGAACAATATGCATGCAAACACAGACAAAAGTATAACGACACTGTACATACAATACAACACAAGAATCCAAAACGCAACCAAATGCCTCAAATCCAATCCCTAGATTCGAATTTTCTTTATTATGTGTTTATTTGTTGTTTTCAGAATCGGACCGGACGTTAAACCGGAAAAGTTAGTGGTTTATGGTTCAGTGGTTAACTATTAAAAACCGTTGGTGAACCGTTGATAGAACGGTTCATGATCAGGCCCGGCCAGCACAGGGCCTCAACAAAATAGGGGCCTCCAATGAGAGTGATAAATCTAGGACCAGTTTAGAATACACGGTTTAATTTATCATGGGCCTCCTTTACAAAAGAATAAAATGCTATTGATGTAGCATAAGCCCATTAGATAATTACCAACACTTTAAGGCCCAAGTTGGGCATGCCGGATTATTATTCGTTGTTTATCATTTCAGCTTAGTAATTACTAATTAGCTGTACATACCACACTCCCATTAACGGTAAAAAAAGGATAAATAAATCAAAGCACAAGTATATAATACTTTCCCGTAACCACACTACCCACTACCCAAGTTATCAACAATAAGAAATGGAATTACTTAATATAAATATTACTATTGTATTCAACTTGTGATATAAACTCAAATCCAAATAATTTACTTCTACTCATTTAACATTTTTTCCCCTTTATTATTTGTTTTTCCACTTAGCTTTTCTACTCTTAGCATCAATTGAGTTCTCCTGATATATTTAGGTGAATCCAATTAATAGACTAATTTTTTGTGGAGTTACTATGTGGATACTTTTGCTTCGTTTTTGTTTTATTACTCTCTCTATTATTCAATTTTGAATTTTAGCATCTTGTTTCAACTACCATCCCATCATTCAATGAATAATGAATCACCAACAAATATCATCAATGGTCTACTTTCATCTTCAAGCTTCGATCATACTTGTAAAGTTTATTATCCTAATTTTATTTTTCTACTAATTATGTCATCTATGAAATTTGAATTAGTAATATTTAAGCACAATGTTATATTTTTTTATTTTGTAATCAATATTAGATATATAAACCATTATCATATTTTAAAAAGATAATATTATATATATAAACCATTATCAAATTAGAATTAGTAGTGACCGATTTTTTTCATCTTTATATTTAAATTATTGTCACTCTTTATTAAAATAATATTAAATATATGTTGGCATCAAATTATATAAATTTTTTTATTTATTGATTATTGCATTTTTATTTATTGATTATTTTTTTTTTAAAGTTGGGCCTCATTTTTTTTATAGAACAGGGCCTCCCGAATCCCAGAGCCGGCCCTGTTCATGATATATAACATACAAGATTGGTATAATACACTAATTTAATAATGGAACTATCATTGACCATAAACAATTTCAAATTCATATTATCACCAAAATATCTATCAAATCATCTAAATCGTCACAAAATAAATCTTTTTTTTAATTCAAGTTAAAAATGATGGTGCCAGTCAATAGTGGACCACGTTAAGTTGACATCGAGATTGAAAAATGAGAAGAGGAAGCATAAATAATAATAATATTGGTTTGGTGGTCTTAGTTTACCTTATTTGCATTTTCTATAAAATATTTGTTGTTAAAATAATGAACAAGTTAAACCGTGGTGGTTCATCTGTTTTCATAATGAACCGTGAAAAATCGTTTGGTCCATCAATAATCGTCCAAACAATGAACCGGACCGCTATCATCACTGGTTTGACGATTCTATTGGCCCAACCGTTGATTCGGTTTGGTTCTTATTTACAGGTTCCTTTTGTGGGTTTTTTCTGGTCTTTTTCCAGCTATAGGAGAAAATGTAATGGTTTGTATTGTTGGATACTTTGATGTCATTATCATAACTTCGTATGAGTATTTGATTGGACTTATATGTATTTTTAATGATTTTGTTTTTAAATGGAATTTGAATTGATTCCTATTTAGATATATTCATATTAGTGTTTTCCATTTTTTGTTTGTTTCATTAAAATAAGAAAGTTGGATTAGAATTGAGTACCCTTTTTCTTTTGAGTATTCAATGCTATGAGTTCAATTTAGATCCGAACTTAAACCTTGGACATATGTCTGTCTAAAAAAAAAACTCAAATTTGATTTTGACTCAAACTATGATGGATTTAGACAATATCCATTCTTTTCCCCCCTCTAACTATGGGATCCGGTACTGAATCATGTATGATGTTTCAAGTATTAGGATATAGTGGCACTATGCTAACCCCTAAAGGGGTAGTGATTTTCGACACCCCCTTTATGATTGGCCAATTTTATTTCCAATCATTGGCAAGTATTAATTAAACTAATTTTTTATTTTTTTTAATCTTGTAATTTGGGGTCTCTCACCCACATTGGAAAGGGAAAGAATTGGGGGAATCAGAAAAAAGCTCCCCCCCAAATGTGCAATTAATTGCCTTTTTTCTTCCTTTCGTCTCCTTCTCTCTCCATTTGGGCCCCCTTTCCATTTTGATTTCATTTTAACCAGAACCCTCCTCTACTCTGAAACGACCAAAACCCTCCCCCATTTTCATCTTCATCTTCCTCTTCCTCCCGCAGCCGCCACCGCCATCACCCCTCTCCGCCATCTTCATCCACGCCTTCCACCTGTGCCGCCTCCATCCCTCCAACCGTCGTACTCCTCCGGCTCTTTCCTCCACCACCATCCTCCTATCTCCAGCTGCCGCCATCCTGGGATCGCCTCTGACCTACCTTGTGGATTGCTCGCACCAGTGGAGTGGTACGTGTACCGGTGGAGTGGTACGTGTACCGGTGGAGTGGTACGTGTACCGGTGGAGTGGTACGTGTACCAGTGGAGTGGTATTTGTATCATTGAAGTGGTACTGCATTGTTGCTCCGTTATTGTTTATCATTGTTATGAAAAATATCATTGCACTGGTATTGTTCTCACTCTAACTCGTATTTGCCACTTATAATGTACCACTTCATTTGTATTTTGTATGGGAGAAATACACTACACGCCACTAAACTATAAGAATTGGGGGAAGGATACTACTAATGTGAAAATAGAGCACCAAATACCATTAAAGTTCCCAAAGCCAAAATATGCATCCATTAAATTCTTCATCAATTTGATTAACCAAATGAATACAATATATTTTTCCACCTCAAGCCTCTTTAACTTCCGTTGAAACTCGACATTAAGAGTTGCTGGACCATAAATATCTTCATTGTCATTGCTCCATTTTGCAAGCTCCCTAATCGCTCTCGCTTGTAGTCAGGAACGTGCTCTACTCCCTGCTCCGTGTGATTTGTCTTTCCTAGCGTGCATCTGACACCGCTCCACAACTTCTCGAGGAACTCACTGCTCTGACTGAAATCAAAGAAGGTAAAATCAATAGTCAAACCAATAAATATAACTACTGATAGATAAGATCAACAATAAGACTTTCATTGCAGATATATCAATCCATTGGCTCTATCCTAGAAAGCCATTCTAAACATAACTACTACTACGGTAGTTGTACTTTAAACAACCATAATGATTTTTTTTGTACCACTACAGTGATAGCACTACCACAAAAACATCACAATGAACTACCACTGCAGCGATAGATCTACCACTACAGCGATAGATCAACAACTGCAGTGATAGATCTACCACTAAAGTGATAGACACAATATGCCACAAAAATATTCACATGGTTAACTATATCAATGTGTTGATAGACTGCAGTCAAATAAACAACACTACATTATCCAAGAATCAACTATCACTGGAGTGGTATACTTCCGTACCAGAATCAACAATTTATACCACTCCAGTGATAGACATACCACTGGAATAACATTCAACAAAAACTCAAACACTACAATTATCATTGTAGTGGTAACATTACCACAAGAAAAAAACACATCTTCGTGGGTATGAGAGAGAAAAACTAGACTGATAAGGAATAATTAAAAAATCACAAATCTAGAAAAATCCAGGATAATGATAAACTACCAGTACACTGGTACCAATACCAGTACTCACATATGAGTATAATCATAAACTACCAGTTCACTGGTATCAATACCAGTTCTACACCAAAAACCCAGATCTGGGTATGGGAGAGAGAGATAGTGGGACGGAGAGAGTTACCTCAGATTCTTCGTCGTCGTCGTCGCCGATAAGGGAAGGATGGCTAGTGTAGGAAGGGGAGACGGGTCGTCATCTTTGCCGGGAAGGTGAGGATGATCATTGTCTTCTCCGTCGATCCTTTCACAGTGCCAAGCTTGTGGAAGGAGATGGAGAGTTACGGCAAGCTTGGCGTTGCCCGGAGAACAGCGATAGTCACGATCTAAGACATAGCCACGATGGAGGATGCAGGACAGAACCGGAGGGAGATGTGGACTGTGACGGTGAAGAAGCGACGACGGCGAGTAGGGGAAGAGGGAATCGAGGGAGAGAGGAGGAAACGAAAGGGAGAGAAAAAAGGGGAGAAGAAAAGGGTTTCGAATGGGGGGTGATAATCGTTTTTCCCCAGATTCTTTCTCTTTTCCAATGTGGTGAGAGAAATTAATTATGTAATTAATGTATAAAAAAAGGTGATTAATACTTACCATTGGATTAGATGGATGGTATCTAAGAGGGGTGTCAAAAATCACTACCCTTTTAGGGGTAGTCAAGCTAACCGATCCTTGGCGATTTGCACTCTGAAATATATGAGATCCGGTACTGAAATAAAACACCAGGTAGATCATAGATTAAGCTGCTGCAACTTAACTAATTAAGTATCCAAAGCAATGACAAAACCAGACCATTTATTTCCAACCATAATCACCCATTAGCATACAACCCAACTGTTTACTTCATCTTGTTAATTACATGAAAAGCAAAGAAATTAAATTTCTCTTTATAAATAATAATAAAAAGTGAATTCTAGCTAGATCATCATCACTTTATAGGGATAATTCCCTAAATACAGATAAAAGTAAAACAAATTCCTAAACTACTACACTTTAAAAAAAATTCCCAAAATACTTAAGTTTTACTTAAGTTTGGAGTGGTTTGAGTTCGAGGAACTCGAACTACTAACCGGTTCGAGTGTAGCAGACTCGATCTAGTCGTAGATCGATTATATAAGGGGTTTTGGAAATAACTTTAACTTTAATTTTCACTTTTTCACATATATTCTGAAAATATTTCTATTAAAAAAGTTGTAGTCCTCGAAAAGTTATGCGAAATGAAAAAAAAAGTTTGCTACGATCGGATAACCGAGCACAAAGTTAAGGTGGTTGGAAATTTCAAAGAAGTGGTTCGAGTTCAGTACTTCAGCCCCACATGGTTCGAGGCTTATATCATCGATCTACGACTAGATCGAGTTCCCTACACTCGAACCGGTTAATAGTTCGAGTTCCTCAAATTCGAACCACTCCAAACTTAGGTATTTTGGGAAAAAAATTTATTAGTGTGGTAGTTTAGAAATTTGTTTTAGTGTTATGTGTATTTAGGGAATTATCCCTCACTTTATATAAGTGCAGTGGTCGCCTGTCCGAAGCCAACAGTTGTAACTCCAAAACAGAGTAGGACAGATAGAAAGAATGGGGAAGAGATTCCAGTTGCCCAAGCTCTCCCGAGTGATCCCATCATCTTTATACTACTGCCGTTCCAAAAACCTCGACGACACCTATCCTTCTTCCCATCCCGCCCCTATTTCCTCCTTCCACCGCCTTGTCTCCGCCTCCGCCGCTCATCCCCTGCCTCCGCCGCCAGATCATCCCAGCAGCAGCAAGCCACGTGACTCCTCCTCTTCCATCAAGCGCCACGTGTCCTCCACCATCACCTCCGTCGGCTGCGGCTGCGCCTCCAAATCCACCGCCTCCGCCCCGCCTCCGAGGAGGAGGCACGTGCTCCGATGGGAAGAGGAGGACAAATGGCACGTGGCTGTCGCTAGCAATCACGTGATCGAGCCCCCTGCCTCGAAGAAGGCAGCGTCTAAACGGCGCGTGAAGAAGAAGAAAACGACGAGGATCCGGATCTCGACTTCCTCCGCCGACACTGCGGGACTCTTCAGCAGCGAATTAGGAGGTCCGGAGGACCACGACGAGGGCGAGGAAATGGAGGCGACGCTGGTGTCATCCTGTAGAAGCTTCTCCACCGACGAAGACGATGACGTGGCAGACTCCTCCCCTCAGTTGAAGACCATCAGCGAGACAGTACTATTTGGCGCCGCGACGAGGAGGAAGGACAGACGAGGAGCGCGCAGGAGGCGGCGGAGGAAGGTTGCGGCGGCAGGGGAGGTGGGGTCGCCGGCGAGGCAGTCGCGGTTCTCCCAGTGGGTGATGCCGTGCAGGGTGGAAGGGAAAGTGAAGGAGAGCTACGCGGTGGTGAAGAGGTCGGAGGATCCGAGGGAGGATTTCAAGAGGTCGATGGCGGAGATGATTCGGGAGAAGGAGATGTTCGAGGAGAAGGATCTGGAGCAGCTGCTGCGCTGCTTTCTGTCCCTGAATTCCCGGGATCACCACCCTGTCATCGTCCAGGCTTTCTCCGAGATTTGGGAGGACTTAATTTAATATTTAAGTTTAGTCTTAGTTAATCTCTGCCGTTAATTATTAGTTAATTATTATGGCGTTTTCGTCAAACGAGTCGGGATCCGATGGTTTTGACTGGACAAAACGGTGTCTTAATTAGCTAGGCGAGGTGTTGTCTTGTCAATCATGCAGGAAATGGAAATTCTCATTCTTGGTTACTACGTGTGCAAGTTGCAACAGTGGAAAGCTGATGTCTCTCTTGCCCTCAAAGTAGGGTGGTTATTTGGACCGGGACCGGATTAAAAACCGGAAACCGGACCATATAATCCGGACCGAGACCGGACCGGGACCAGATAGTAAACAATCCAATCCAATCTTTGGGCTTAGATTTGAGGTAAAAAATCGGATAAAGACCGGATAAGAGAGCTCAACACCCAAAACTTAAGGGTAATTTGCATAAACGGTCACAAACCTTTGCACTTAGTACAAAACTTAACCAACTCCTCACCCTTTAAGGCCTTAGGCCACTCAAATCCCACAATCTCAATGTAAAATCAAGACCGAATTGGGACCGGACCTGATCAAAACCGGACCGGATCAAGACCGGACTGTATCCAATCCAATCTTCGGTCCTTATATTTTCAAAAAGACCGGACTGGACCGGATCAATTTGGGCCAATTTAACCGGACCGGACCGTATAGCCACCCCTACCTCAAAGGCTCAAACAGTATTACTGAGTAGTGAAATGAAAAACCAGCATTAGTGGCCGTCACCGCCTTCAAGGTGGCGCGTGAGCCAATGAAGGGTGTTACATTAGTGAAAAACATCTTAGGACTAATGATCGGATCATCATTGCATTCGGTCCATTTGATCCGGCTCGATCCGGTCCAAATATGAGTTCGGTCCATAATTTCTTCAATAATTATTTAATTCAAGTGGACCAAGAACTGGACCGTATTATACTCAATTCTGTTCAGGGTCCAAAATCCAAACTTCATTTTGATCAAGTGCGATCGGTACAGACCGGACCATTACACACTCCCTAGAAACTAGTTTTAAGTTACTAGGTAGAGGTAAATGACCTAATAGGCAGAATGGGAGCCTATTAATATTGCTAATGCTTGAGGACAGTTGAACAGCTAGGAGGCTATGTGTTGTGATAATAATGATTATGGTAATTAAGTAAATGGTAAAGGTTAGTGGGGAGGCCGGCCGGGGTCTTCCCTTTCCCTTTTCCCTCCTTTATCTTAACCTCTATCCTCCAATCTATTCCCTCCCCTTTTCACTCCGCTGATTACTCCTCCAATAGTACTGCATTATTGAATTGAATCTATATGCTTCTTTTCTTGTTTATATTGAACCATCATGGACCATTCAGACCAACAACACGTACGTACATGGCTAAAAGATACAAGAAAGAAGGTCACAGCAGGGGTGGAGAGTTTATTGTTGTCTTGAAGCAATGCATCGATTTCATCAGCTGAGTGGTGATTTTACGGGCGGCGTTCGTTCCTTCCCCAAATCCATCTCTCTGATTCTCATCTCTGCTGCATGCATGCTGTGTCACATGCAGTACTGGCTGCCATGCATGCAACTTTCACTAGTCTTAGCTTGTGTATACTTACACGAACTCGGCGTATATCTCAGGAGCTGGGATGTAAAGTGAAGCGCCCTTTCTTTCTCTCTATGGCCCTACCAGCTTTTTTACTTTTGGCTCCCAACCCAACACACAAGAAACGGGAAAACTCGATACTACACAGCATTGTACTTTCACTCTTTCAGTGAGTGAGAGTTAGAATGAGAGAGAGATGAAATATATGATGATGAGCAGAAGCCATCAAAGCTACCACAGTGCCATTGTGGAGTGAAGCAAAGCAATCAATTCCACACGGCATCAGAGATTTCCCCCTTTGCCCTGCATCTATCTATCTATCTGCGTATATATGTACACTGACGGCTCGCCCTCCCAGGAATTTCATTGTAGATATACACGCCACCCAAATTTCTAATCTGGAGAAAAAAGAGAATACTGGGAAAATGATATGGGTGGGTTGGATTAGGAATTTGGGGTGGTTGTTTATTAATCATTATGATATAAATCCATGTATTGGGTATTTTGATATTATATTATTTGGTTGTTGAGATTATAATTTATGAATTTGTTGTCATAAAAGTTACTTTATAAAGAAATATCACATTTGTCCCTCCACTTTTGATATAAAATAAAAGGAACTATGGATATAAATGAAAAGGAAAAGGGGTATGGCTATTAAACCAACAATCACAATTAGTTGACATTGTACAATCCCTCGTTTTTGTTGATTGTAGGTGGGAGCCACATAAACAATACATGCATTGTCTTGCAACCTGATACTTTCAAGAGTTGTATTGTGGACAATACATGTATTTTAACCCCTGATACAAATTGTAGCAATAATTTTTCCAACCTCTGGACCAACGCTTGACAGTGCCTGCTATGGATAGCAAGGACTTTTAGCAACCCACGATGGAAGTATCATTCAAAGGTTATAGTAGGGGTTCATACTGTTGCCACTTTTTCCAAGGGTTAAACCCCTATTACATGATAATTTAAAATCTAGCAAATGATATGTTCGTAGTTAGGGTTTAAACCCCCACTATATTTGTTGCTAAAACTAGCTAGGGTTAAAAACCAGTGAACAACATAATTGCAGCTCGATTATACTGTTAACTCAATGGTTTGCAATCTGACACCTTTATTATTTGACCAATGAACAGAATATAAACCCCTTGTGCTTCAGTCCCAACATGACCTTGCACAACCCCACTCTCTGACTTATGGTTCCTACAAATCAGCAACCATGACTCAACTAACAGCTACAAACTCTCTAACAAGACTAACCACTAACATGACTCGATTGTTCTTTTTACACAAATAGGTATTGAAATAGACATAAACCACCCGACTGACTCTACTAACTGGAACGACACTGTTTCCTTTATTTGACTCTATCATTTGAACTTGGCGCCATAAGGAATCCTTCTCCTGAAAGGATTCGGATTATTCATGCTGCTGCTGCTGCTCTTCAACCTTCAACACAATCCTCCCCTGAACTGAAGCCGGTTTGGAACCAAGCTTCAGTTCACTTCTTCACCTGTGAACTCTGCAAGATCATACACTCCAACTTGCTCCTCAAAAGCTGAAAAGTCTCTAGCTTCAGTGGCTTGGTCATGATGTCAGCCACTTGTTCATGTGTGATGCAATGTTCCAGTTCGATGACCCCTTCCTTTGCCAGATCCCTGATGAAGTGGTATCTAACATCGATGTGCTTGCTTCTTCCATGCAGCACTGGGTTCTTGGACAATTTAATTGCTGAGTTATTGTCACAGAGAATAGTTGTGCAGCCTTCTGCACTTGAGTTCCATCCCAAACTTTCCAGAATCCTCTTCAGCCATACACAGTGAGCCACACAGTATGCTGCAGCAACAAACTCAGCTTCAGTAGTGGAGAGTGTGACTACTGTTTGTTTCTTAGAGGCCCAGGAAATTGCTCCACCTGCAAGGAAGAACACATAACCACTGGTGCTTCTTCTATCATCAACATCCCCAACATAATCACTATCAGTGTACCCTAGCAATATGTTTTCCCCTTCTGATCTCTTGTACCAGATTCCAGACCTCATGGTCCCTTTTAGATAGCACAACACTCTCTTAGCAGCCAATTGATGCTGTCTAGTTAGAGATTCCATGAACCTACTCAGAAGACAGACAAAGTACATTACTTCAGGTCTAGTTGCAGTGACATAGAGGAGACTCCCAATGAGTTGTTTATACTCTGTGGGATTCACTGAAACTTCATCTCCAGCCTTAGATAGCTTAATTCCAGTTGTAATTGGATTTCTAACAAAGTTGCAATCAGCCAGTTTGAATCTTTCCAGAACCTCTTTGATGTATTTCTGTTGGCAAATGAAGATTCCTCTTTCTGATTGCATCACCTCAATACCCAGGAAGTATCTCATCCTTCCCAAATCTGTCATTTCAAACTCAGATTCCATAGAATGCTTGAATCCAGCTATCATCTCTTCACAATTACTTGTATACGGCACATCATCCACATAGATTGACACAATAAGAATACCTGACTCCTTCTTCTTGATGAACAACGTATGTTCATGTGGACACCTCTCAAACCCAGTCTTCTGCAGATAGCCCTCGATTCTGCTATACCATGCTCTGGGGGCCTGCTTCAGTCCATACAAGGCCTTTTTGAGTTTATAGACCTTATGCTCCTCCCCATCAACTTCAAAGCCTTGAGGTTGCTCTAGGTACACATCCTCTGTAAGCTCTCCATGGAGAAAAGCTGATTTGACATCCAGTTGATAAACTGTCATACCATGATAGGCAGCCAAAGCCAGTATGGTTCTGATAGTGTCCCACCTGGCTACAGGAGCAAACACCTCTGTATTGTCAATTCCAGCCTTCTGAGCAAATCCCTTGGCTACCAATCTAGCCTTTCTTTTGTCTAGAGAAGCATCCTCCTTCAGCTTTGTTTTATAGACCCACTTGCACCCAATTGCCACTGCCCCTTCTGGCAAGTCAACCAACTCCCAGGTTTGATTTCTTTCAATTGAATCAAACTTTAGATCCATTGCCTTCCTCCACCTTGGATATTTGTATGCCTCCTCGAAAGTCTGAGGATCATCAGTGATGGCCAACATCAATCTCCAGTCTGTATCTGTGAAGCTGCATTCGTAGATGGATAAATGGGAAGGTGGATGCCTGGACCTGGGAGGTAAGCCCAACACATCAGTACCAGGTCCAGAGCCATCCTTATCATATTCATTTGCTGGATCCTCATCCACTGGTGTTTTTGGACTCTTAGGTTCTTCACTGACAGCAGTATCAATGTCTGCAGTGACCTCTTCTTCAGTGTCTGAGGAATCCTACAACTCATCACTTCCTTCCCAAACCAGCTTATATCTTTTTGCCTTTTCTGAACCTTCCATCCAGCCCTTTGCTTCATCAAACACAACATCCCTGCTTACTACAACCTTCTTTGTAGCAGGATCAAATAGCCTGTATGCTTTAGATTTAGTTGAAACCCCAAGAAAATAGCATTGTGAACTCTTGCTGTCTAACTTTTTCCTTCTTTGATCAGGGGTGTGTACATAGGCTACACAGCCAAAGACCTTGAAATGTTAAACTAATGGAGGACTTCCAGTCCAAAGCTCCTGAGCAGTCTTTCCTTGATTAGCACTTGTAGGGCTCCTGTTGAGCACATGTGTGGCCCAGGTAACTGCTTTAGCCCAGAAAACATCAGGTACATGAGTGTCCTGAATCATGTATCTCACCATATTCATCACTGTTCGATTCTTTCTCTCAGCCACTCCATTATGCTGTGGAGTGAGAGCAGCTGTCAACTGCCTCCTTATACCAGCCTCATCACAAAGTTCTTTGAATTCAGTCAACATGAACTCCCCTCCTCTATCAGTTCTGAGACAAGTGATAGAAAGTCCATTCTCCTTTTCAGCCTGAGCTTTAAACTTCTTGAACCAGTTCAAAGCTTCTGACTTAGCAGCTAGGAAGTATACCCATAATTTTCTGCTATAGTCAACAGTTAGAGTGAAGATATACATTTTACCACTGTTTGAAGCTGGTGTTATTGGACCACACAAGTCTGCATGAATCAATTGCAGCTTCTGGGATGCCCTCCATTGACTCCTTTTTGGAAAAGGGTTTCTGTGTTGCTTTCCAATTAGGCAGGTGCTGCATACTCCTGTGCTGCCTTGCAGTTGTGGTAGCCCTTGTACTAGCTCCTTCTTCTGCAACTGTTGAAGGCTCTGGGGACTGATGTGTCCAAACCTCCTGTGCCACAAGCTCAGCTGTGACTCTGAAACATTCCCAGTTTGAAGACACTGCACATTGGAAGCTTGATTTTGTCTGCTTGCAGTGGTGTGAAGAACAAACATTTTGTTTGTTTTCATCTCAGTTTGGAGGAGGAGACCCTTATCTTTGTGAAATATCTTGCAGAAACCATCTTGAATCAGGAATGATAATCCTTTTTCTTGCCACTAACCAACACTCAGTAAATTAGTTTTGAGCCCTGGCACATAGAACACCTTCTGAACCACCACTGATAGCTGATTGATCACCAGCCTCACACTTCCTCTCCCAGCTACCTTCAATCTCGAGTCATTTCCAAGCCTGACATTACAGG